GGATGTTTTGTATGGTGAGTAGGTTGAGTGTTTTGAATATTGGTGGAATATTGGTTGTGCGGAAGAGCTTGCCCCATGTGCATACACATATTGGCTTCTGTTGCTGAGGTATGACTTGAGGTAGTTGAGGGAGTGCCCTCTTATACCATAGTGTGACAATTTTACGTGGAGCAAGTCATGGTCAACTGTATCAAAAGCTTTACGTAAGTCATGAAGATCCCCAGTGGGACTTCTTTTTTCTCTATTGCAGTGTATATATGTTCTAGCATGTGTATAATAGCATCATTAGTATTTTTATTAGGCCTGAATCCAAATTGGCAGGGTTGAGAATGTTTTGGGAGATGAGGTAGGAGTAGATTCGTTTATGAATAATTTTTCGAAGATTTTTGAGAGAGGGTGTAAATTGGATATTGGCCTATAGTTATTCAACTCTGTTTGGTCTCCTCCTTTATGGATCGGGGTGACCCTTGCTATTTTGAGAGCTGTAGGGAAGGTGGAGGATTCAATGGATTTGTTAAAGAGTGTTGCAATGATTGGTGATAGTACTTGTGACGCTTTTTTGTATATAAAGGGTGGTAAGGTATTTAAATCTCCTGCCTTGTTTTTCAGTGCGTTGATAATAAGGGAACTTCGTATGGGTTAGTCGGAGCTAGGAACAGTGTGTTCGGGTAGTTGCCAGTGAGGTAGTCATTTGGTGGGGTATCTGAGCTTGGGATTTTATTGGCAAGGTTTTGACCTATAGTGGAGAAGAAATCATTGAGTCTGTTTGCTGTTTCTGTTGGTGGGAGTTGGGGTTCATCTGATTTTGCTAATTTTATTTCGCTATTTCGTGATATCTTTTTTGTTCCCAGAATTTCTGATAGGGTCTTCCAGGTCTTTTTTATATCACCTCGTAAGTTGGATAATCTGTTCTCATAATACAATTTTTTTGCCCTTCTTATCAGGCTGGTTAGGATTGACGAGTAACGTTTTGTTTGGTCTCTGGTTATGTGAACCATTCTGTACTGTTTTTCATATCGGTGTTTTGTATTTATGGATTTGAGAATGCTGGGTGTTAGCCAGGGACTGTTCAGTCTCTTAGCTGTCATCTGTTTAGTTTTTTTAGGGCAGTGCTTGTTATAAAGGTATTGGATCTTTTTTAGAAAATTATTAAAGCATTCGTCAATATCTGTATAGATTTCTAGCTCAGTGTGCCAGTCAATGTTTGTTACTGCTGTTGTGAAGTTATTAATGGCTGCCTCGTTGTGAAGTCTGAAGGTGACTTTAGTAGTGTCTTGGGATATTATACCAAGAGTTGTTATGAGGAAAGTAGGGTAGTGGTCTGTGGTATTATCTGTAATTATGTCTGATTTTAAAGGGGATATGGTGTTGGTCCAGATGTGGTCAAGTACTGAAACACTAGTCTCCGTAACTCTTGTAGGTTTTGTTACTGTTGGTAGCAACATGCAGTTACTCATAGTGTTTGTGAATTCAGTAACGTGTGGGTCCTGGTCTTGCAGGAGATTTATATTGAAGTCACCTGAGAGTAGTAAGTGATCTTTGTTCATGCGTGCATCAGTTATCATACTTCCTAGGTTTTGACTAAATTGGCTGATGTTTGATTGTGGAACTCTGTAGATGTTTATCAATGTGAGAGGTTTTTGTAGGTATTTGGATTTGAATTTAGCTATTATATATTCCCCATGTTCATCCCTTGTGCAAGTATTAGTGATACATTCTAGTTGGTCTGAGTAGTATATAGCAGTGCCACCCCCTTGTTGGTCTGGCCTACAGTTGTGTATGGCTGTGTAACCAGGAATGGCATAGACATCTGTAGTATCAGGCTTTAGCCAGGTTTCAGTTAGTGTAATGATGGACATATTGGCATGCAGGGAATTTAGTAATGCTATGAGGTCATCGTAATGTTTGCTTAAAGATCTGATATTGTAGTTAAAGATAGTTATGTTGTTGTTGGCTCTGAGAAGTGCCTTTGATTGTTCTGCTGTGTAGTAATTACAGTAACTGTTTGAATCATAATCGTAAGATTTGTAGTGAATCTATAGTTAGAATTAAGTAAAAAATAAAGTAAATATTCTAAAGCTAAAAAAAAATAGCACGAAATTACTGTTCAATATGTATGATTATTAGTAAATGATTTTTTTCTCAGTTGTTTTTTGAGCTATCTTATTGAAACTTGGTCACATTACTATTGAAAGGAGCTTCTTTACGTACAAACAAAATGAAAGAAATCGAACGAAAAATAAAAAAGTTCAGTTGCGAACGTTAACTTACCCCTCAGTGCTTTTATGAGTGTCTTAGTGGTCATTCAGTGCTTTTATGAGTGTCTTAGTGGTCATTCAGTGCTTTTATGAGTGTCTTAGTGGTCATTCAGTGCTTGTATGAGTGTCTTAGTGGTCATTCAGTGCTTTTATGAGTGTCTTAGTGGTCATTCAGTGCTTTTATGAGTGTCTTAGTGGTCATTCAGTGCTTTTATGAGTGTCTTAGTGGTCATTCAGTGCTTTTATGAGTGTCTTAGTGGACATTCAGTGCTTTTATGAGTGTCTTAGTGGTCATTCAGTGCTTTTATGAGTGTCTTAGTGGTCATTCAGTGCTTGTATGAGTGTCTTAGTGGTCATTCAGTGCTTTTATGAGTGTCTTAGTGGTCATTCAGTGCTTTTATGAGTGTCTTAGTGGACATTCAGTGCTTTTATGAGTGTCTTAGTGGTCATTCAGTGCTTGTATTAGTGTCTTAGTGGTCATTCAGTGCTTGTATGAGTGTCTTAGTATTCATTCAGTGCTTGTATGAGTGTCTTAGTAGACATTCAGTGATTTTATGAGTGTCTTAGTGGTCATTCAGTGATTTTATGAGTGTCTTAGTGGTCATTCAGTGATTTTATGAGTGTCTTAGTGGTCATTCAGTGATTTTATGAGTGTCTTAGTGGTCATTCAGTGCTTGTATGAGTGTCTTAGTGGACATTAAGTGCTTTTATGAGTGTCTTAGTGGTCATTCAGTGCTTGTATGAGTGTCTTAGTGGTCATTCAGTGCTTGTATGAGTGTCTTAGTATTCATTCAGTGCTTGTATGAGTGTCTTAGTGGACATTCAGTGCTTTTATGAGTGTCTTAGTGGTCATTCAGTGCTTGTATGAGTGTCTTAGTGGACATTCAGTGATTGTATGAGTGTCTTAGTGGTCATTCAGTGCTTGTATGAGTGTCTTAGTGGACATTCAGTGATTGTATGAGTGTCTTAGTGGACATTCAGTGCTTGTATGAGTGTCTTAGTGGTCATTCAGTGCTTTTATGAGTGTCTTAGTGGTCAATCAGTGCTTTTATGAGTGTCTTAGTGGTCATTCAGTGCTTTTATGAGTGTCTTAGTGGTCATTCAGTGCTTTTATGAGTATCTTAGTGATCATTCAGTGCTTGTATGAGTGTCTTAGTGGTCATTCAGTGCTTGTATGAGTGTTTCAGTGGACATTCAGTGCTTGTATGTCTTAGTGGTCATTCAGTGCTTGTATGTCTTAGTGGTCATTCAGTGCTTGTATGAGTGTCTTAGTGGTCATTCAGTGCTTGTATGAGTGTCTTAGTGGTCATTCAGTGCTTTTATGAGTGTCTTAGTGGTCAATCAGTGCTTTTATGAGTGTCTTAGTGGTCATTCAGTGCTTTTATGAGTGTCTTAGTGGTCATTCAGTGCTTTTATGAGTATCTTAGTGGTCATTCAGTGCTTTTATGAGTGTCTTAGTGGTCATTCAGTGCTTGTATGAGTGTCTTAGTGGTCATTCAGTAATGGTGGTGGCACTACTGTTACCTGGCACACTCACAGTAATGGTAATGGCACTACTGTTACCTGGCATACTCACAGTAATGGTATTGACACTAATGTTACCTGGCACACTCACAGAAATGTTGGTGGCACTTCTGTTACCTTGCACATTCACAGTAATGGTAGTGACACTACTGTTTCCTGGCACACTCACAGTAATGGTAGTGGCACTACTGTTAGCTGGCACACTCACAGTAATGGTGGTGGCACTACTGTTACCTGTTAGTAGTCAATAAAGGATCACATTATACTGCATTTGTGTTTATATTGCCATTGTGTCGGTATTTTATACCATTTATTTCCATCGTTACCTGGCCCACTCACAGTAATGGTAGTGACACTACTGTTAGCTGGCACACTCACAGTAATGGTAGTGGCACTACTGTTACCTGGCCCACTCACAGTAATGGTAGTGACACTTCTGTTATCTGGCACACTCACAGTAATGGTAGTGGCACTACTGTTACCTGGCACACTCACAGTAATGGTAGTGGCACTACTGTTAGCTGGCACACTCACAGTAATGGTAGTGGCACTACTGTTACCTGGCCCACTCACAGTAAGGGTAGTGACACTTCTGTTATCTGGCACACTCACAGTAATGGTAGTGGCACTACTGTAACCTGCACACTCACACTAATGGTAGTGGCACCACTATTAGCTATCACACTCACAGTAATGGTGGTGGCACTACTGTTACCTGGCACACTCACAGTAGTGGAAGTGGTACTATTCTCACTTGACACACTCAGAGGAATGGTAATGGCACTACTGTTACCTGGCACACTCACAGTGAAGTAGTGGCACTACTGTTACCTGGCACACTCACAGTGAGGTAGTGGCACTACTGTTACCTGGCACACTCTCATTGAGGTGGTGGCACTAATGTTACCTGGCACACTCACAGTGATGGTGGTGGCACTACTGTTACCTTGTCTCGCTATCAGTAAGGGTAGTGCACACACTGGCAGTACTGGTAAGCGTTCTTCTCTCACCTGGACACAATGGCAGTAATGGTAGTGGTTCTCCTCTTACCTGGACACAAGGGCAGTAATAGCAGTGGTTCATCTCTTACCTGGACACAAGGGCAGTAATAGCAGTGGTTCTCCTCTTACCTGGACACAAGGGCAGTAATAGCAGTGGTTCATCTCTTACCTGGACACAAGGGCAGTAATAGCAGTGGTTCTATTCTCACCTGGACAGACTTGGTGCTGTATTTTTGGGTTCCTGATCCTGGCATCAACGACGCTGGCGTTGACGTGGAGCGCCACGCATGATGGCGCACACTGCACCACAGTAAGCGTGCAAACTGCTGTTACCACTGCTTGGAAGACAGCTGTTTACGTGGGTAAGTTTTCTAAAATTTAATGGTAAACTGTATTTTGATCTTTGAAACTGTCTGCTTCATATATCCGGATGTCAGGTTAACATTATTTTGAAGGTGTCCCGTAGCTCAATCGCTGGCGCAGTCAGGTCACACACTGGGGTCCGGGGTTCGAATCTCCTCTGGTACAGCTCGAAAACATTAGGGACGTGTTTCCATAAAACGCCTGCTGTCCCTGTTCACCAGTCAGTACAAAATGGGTACCTGGGTGTTAGTGGACTGGTGTGGGTCGCATCCTGGGACAAAACTGACCAAATTTGCGGGAAATGCTCAGCATAACAAGTGACTTTTTATATAGTAGTATGTCACTGATGTCAGCTATGGTCTGTATACCTTGTACATGTACTAAATAAAAACATTATGATTATTATTATTATTATTATTATTATTATTATTATTATTATTATTTCTAATAAGAATGAACACTACAATATTACAATATATTATTTGACTTCTGTCTGGTTTACACTTGTGTTTACAGTCTATGCCAGCTCCTCAGAATACACATTTAGAGCAGTCTACACAGTTCCTGAAATTAATAAACTCAGTTTTCATAAATATATTCATTAAGTCTTGCAAAGGAGTTTTTCTTCTCTGCCTAATCCAAAATCTTATTTTAAAGTGTACCGATATAGCCAGGAACCTTCTCATCAGTTGCTTCTCATTGCTGTTTCTCATTTTTCGCATTTCTCTAGCGATCTTAAGATAAGACTTCGTTCGGATTTTTAACCCCGGAGGGTTAGCCACCCAGGATAACTCAAGAAAGTCAGTGAGTCATCGAGGACTGTCTAACTTATTTCCATTGTGGTCCTCAATCTTGTCCCCCAGGATGCCACCCACACCAGTCGACTAACACCCCAGGTACCTACTTCCTGCTAGGTGAACAGGACAACGACAACAGGTGTAAGGAAACACTTCGAAATGCTTCTACCCCGCCGGGAATCGAACCCGGGCCCTCCGTGCGAGAGCTTTGCCAGCCAGGCCACCGGGTCACCCATTGTTTGTTTTGTTACAACATTTTCCACGATATTTGAGCCGTAACTTAAACATTATACTTATTCTTTTCTTCACTCGAATTAAAAGGAACTAAGACAACTGTTATACGTCTACCCAAATGTTCTACAGAACTCTCAGATGGAACTTAAATAACAGTGCTTAAGATATAATCCAGTTGGGTTAGTTTAATATGTTTATTATGCACCCCATACCCATCCTGTGGGCGGTAGTTACCCCATACCCATCCTGTGGGCGGTAGTTACCCCATACCCATCCTGTGGGCGGTAGTCCAAAGATTACAGAGGTACATAATGGGTCCAGAGCCTGGGCCCCAAAGTTATGATAACTGAACTAGTTACAGAGGTAATGAACTCCAGGTAGATCTGGTCACAACCATGACAAGTCACAAAGGTAATGAACTCCAGGTAGATCTGGTCACAAACATGACAAGTCACAAAGGTAATGAACTCCAGGTAGATCTGGTCACAACCATGACAAGTTACAAAGGTAATGAACTCCAGGTAGATCTGGTCACAACCATGACAAGTTACAGAGGTAATGAACTCCAGGTAGATCTGGTCACAATCATGACAAGTTACAGAGGTAATGAACTCCAGGTAGATCTGGTCACAATCATGACAAGTTACAAAGGTAATGAACTCCAGGTAGATCTGGTCACAATCATGACAAGTTACAAAGGTAATGAACTCCAGGTAGATCTGGTCACAACCATGACAAGTTACAGAGGTAATAAACCATCTTCACTCCCATACATGGTTACAATCATGAACAAATTACAAGTTAGTTTACTGTATTTTAAAACCAAATGGACAAAATCCATTTAGCGAGAATTAAAGTTAAAAACCGATTAACTTCAATATAAATACATTTAATGCATTTTAAAATATAGCTGGAAAAGCAATGCAATGAAAATTATTCTCACTATCAACGAAATATGAACATAAATAAACCCATTTGTTTCCAACTTGACGTTCATTTTTACATACTCTTTACCACTGCTGGATCGTGTTTGTTGAAGCAGTTGTCATGGATAATCCCAGACAATGTATTAAGAGGCACGTAAGTTCCCCCGTCTTCTAATAACATTAATTTCTTCACTATAATCTACCTTGTCTATAATTACTATCACATTTTCTTTGTTTCGTAAGGTGAAGTCCAGGATCTTTCCCTAATTCATGGTATAACTTAACAAATCTTTGAGGACAGCTGTTATTGTGGAGGTCTGAGCTTTGGGTAGCATTGAAAATTGGGTTGGGCAAATATTCTGTTAGGGAGATGGATTGTGAAGGACCTGCCTAGCATGAGCCAACAGGCCTGCTGCAGTGTTCCTCCTTTCTTATATTCTTATGTTCTTCTTTTAATAAGGGTGTACCTGCTTCAGACGCCTTGTCTCTTTTGGGCAACAGCCCTGTAACTCGCTTCAGTATGTTTACCTCAAACTCTCGGGCCCGTATTTTGGCATCTGTGGCTTCAGCTTGCGACTCCCATTTCTTGTCTCTGCCTCCATCCTCTTCTCCATTTTTACAGAAAACTCGCCTAGTTTGCTTTTCCACTCTTGTTCCATCCTTTTACATTGCTCTTCCATCCATTCTTCCTTTCCAGGCCCATCTTCCTCTGATCCCGTGAGCCTTCAACTTCCCCTCTGGGCCCCCATTATATATATTTTTTATGGGTTAGATTATGTATTGCATGTGTGTGCTGTTTGGGTGTGTGTACTCACCTAATTATGGTTGCAGGGGTTGATCATGTTGGTTTTGTGCATGCATGTGCTGGTGTGTACTCACCTATTTGTACTCACCTATTTGTGGTTGCAGGGGTCGAGTCCTAGCTCCTGGCCCCGCCTCTTCACCGGTTGCTACTAGGCCCTCTCTCTCCCCGCTCCATGAGCTTTATCAAACCTAGTCTTAAAACTGTGTATGGTTCCTGCCTCCACTACGTCATTTTCTAGGCTATTCCACTGCCTTACAACTCTATGACTGAAGAAATACTTCCTACTATCTCTCTGACTCATTTGTGTCTTCAACTTCCAATTGTGGCCTCTTGTTTCTGTGTCCCCTCCCTGGAACATCCTGTCTTTTTTCCACCTTGTCTATTCCACGCAGTATTTTATATGTCGTTATCATGTCTCCCCTGACCCCCCTGTCCTCCAGTGTGGTCAGGCCGATTTCCCTTAATCTTTCTTCATAGGACATTCCCCTTAGCTCTGGAACTAACCTTGTCGCAAACCTTTGTACTTTCTTTTAGTTTCTTGACGTGCTTTATCAAGTGCGGGTTCCAAACAGGTGCTGCATACTCCAGTATGGGCCTGACATACACGGTGTACAGTGTCTTGAATGATTCCTTACTAAGGTATCGGAATGCTGTTCTCAGGTTTTGCCAGGCGCCCATATGCTGCAGCAGTTATCTGATTGATGTGTGCTTCCGGAGACATGCTCGGTGTTATACTCACCCCAAGATCTTTCTCTTGAGTGAGGTTTGCAGTCTTTGGCCACCTAGCCTATACTCTGTCTGTGGTCTTCTGTGCCCCTCCCCCATCTTCATGACTTTGCATTTGGCAGGATTAAATTCGAGAAGCCATTGCTGGACCAGGTGTCCAGTCTGTCCAGGTCTCTTTGAAGTCCTGCCTGGTCCTCATCAGATTTAATTCTCCTCATTAACTTCACATCATCTGCAAACAGGGAACACTTCTGAGTCTAACCCTTCCGTCATGTCGTTCACATATACCAAAAATAGCACTGGTCCTAGAACCGACCCCTGTGGGACCCCGCTCGTCACAGGTGCCCACTGTGATACATCATTACGTACCATGACTCGTTGTTGCCTCCCTGTCCCTGTGTGTGCCTCTCCATGTGTGTGGCTGTGTACACAGCCTGCATATGTAAAGCTGAAATGTTTGTGGAGGAGGATGCGTAATGTTTATAACCGTTAACCCCTTTCGAGCCCTCAGATTGTTGGCTCTGCTTACTGTTACAAAATTCCTAACTTGTATACATTAACATGCTCCCTATTCACTAAGTAATATAAGTCAGCTCTGCTGACTATTTGTTTTACTCACTAGTGCACAATGAGTCTACGAAAACACCTGACTACACACAATGACTATTGGCAGGTAAGACACATAGGCAACAGTTCGGCAGTTTTATTCCGAAACGTTTCGTCTACACAGTAGGCTTCTCCAGTCGTGTACAAAAGTAGGCAGGAGCAATAGAAATGTGACGACGATGTTTACCTGGAGTTTACCTGGAGAGAGTTCCGGGGGTCAACGCCCCCGCGGCCCGGTCTGTGACCAGGCCTCCTGGTGGATCAGAGCCTGATCAACCAGGCTGTTGCTGCTGGCTGCACGCAAACCAACGTACGAGCCACAGCCCGGCTGATCAGGAACTGACTTTAGGTGCTTGTCCAGTGCCAGCTTGAAGACTGCCAGGGGTCTGTTGGTAATCCCCCTTATGTGTGCTGGGAGGCAGTTGAACAGTCTCGGGCCCCTGACACTTATTGTATGGTCTCTTAACGTGCTAGTGACACCCCTGCTTTTCATTGGGGGGATGGTGCATCGTCTGCCAAGTCTTTTGCTTTCGTAGTGAGTGATTTTCGTGTGCAAGTTCGGTACTAGTCCCTCTGGGATTTTCCAGGTGTATATAATCATGTATCTCTCCCTCCTGCGTTCCAGGGAATACAGGTTTAGGAACCTCAAGCGCTCCCAATAATTGAGGTGTTTTATCTCCATTATGCGCGCCGTGAAAGTTCTCTGTACATTTTCTAGGTCGGCAATTTCACCTGCCTTGAAAGGTGCTGTTAGTGTGCAGCAATATTCCAGCCTAGATAGAACAAGTGACCTGAAGAGTGTCATCATGGGCTTGGCCTCCCTAGTTTTGAAGGTTCTCATTATCCATCCTGTCATTTTTCTAGCAGATGCGGTTGATACAATGTTATGGTCCTTGAAGGAGAGA